TTTTTAAAAAAAAAAAAAAAAAAAAAAAAAAAAGAAAGTTAAAATTTCTAATTTGACTCAAGAGCAGTAATTCATATTACTGAAGAAAATTCAGCAAGAGCTTCAGAACAGCAGTCCTTCTTGCAGCTCCTGCCCAGGGCTCTCTCATTCTCCTTGTATATAGGGCTCTAATAAATTGTGCATATTAGGTGGGCTGGCAAAATCGAACTGGGGGCTTTCTGAGATTCTTGCATAGAAATTCAGAGGCTCCAGATAAAAACATACACAACTGCGCTGGTCCGTTTTGTGTACATTTAAAAGAAGCAAGAAAAAATAAAGTAATTTTTCTCCACCTTTTTCGCTACACACCTGGTTAAAAGCAACCTTTTCTTGGTCTTTTGTTCTTCAGGGCTTGATGAAGATTCCACCAATATGTTTTTTTTGCCTGAGAAAGATTACAACTCTGAGTCTGAGACCTCACATGTCTATTGGGCAGACAGAACCAGGCAAACAACCTTTTCTTTGTGCAAAGCCTCTGGAAATGAAAATGAGGGGGAAGAGGCATCTAAAACTGGCAAGTCAACTTTTACCAAGAAAGCCAATACACATGAGGTTGGGAAGTCCCAGGGGAGCTGGAGGAGCTGACAGGGCAGTAGCACCTGGGGGTGGTGATTTGGGGAACTAACATTTACTTAGCTCCTACAGTGTGCTGGGCTCTTTGATATGTGTTTCCTCATTTAATCCTCAGAGCTGGTGAGGGGAGAATCAAGGATTAAAATGGGTCAGTTTAGGCCCAAAGCCCATGTTTTCACCTGTCCACTGTGGTGCCTCCCAAGACACTCAGAATAGAAATCAGAAAGGAAACTATCAAGGGTTTCCTTTGACATCTTCCTCTGCCCAGGCCACAATCTGTCGTCTAGCTCCTGAGCTCTGGCACACTGAGCACCTCCAGAATAAATCACATGCCAGTGGCTATTTTTGCAGCACTGGATTTAGTCTTGAGGAGGAAACAAATGCAGTGGGGAATTTGGTTCCTGACCTCAAGGCTCTCCGAAGATGGTTTTGGAAGTAAGATACATACACAAAATCATTACAGGAAACAAAGCATAAGTTCTAAAACACTTTTTTATATGAAAAATTTCAAATTTCAGAAGTAGAACAGTATAATGACTACTCATGTAAGCATTGCCCAGCATCAACAATTATTAATATTTTATCGATCTTATTTCATTCATCGCTCTTTTCAAAACTTTTAAAAGTTTTTTTTTTGTTGGTGTCTTTTCAAGAAAATTCCAGACACAGTGCCATTTCAGACTGTAATACAACAGGCATCTCCTTGAGCTGAGAAACCTGAAAAGTATTGTGGGTTTGGATCAGGAGGTTCTATGTTCATGTGGCAGGAGACATGACAAAAATCCAGTGGCCTAAGGGTAGACGCTGATGAGCTTTATTTTGGGGGAGAGCTGTAGGCGAGAACTTGCTCTTGGCCTGGAGCTGCTACACAGGCAATTCAACCACGCACCTTTCTCTGGCTTCACTCTAGAGGGACAGAGGAAGAGTTCGCTCCAGGGTGTTTCTGAGATGAACAGGCTGTATTCTGGAAAAGCAGGAGCACCCAAACTGGAGTCTGATCCTTGCAATCTGTTGGTTGATCTGGATGAAGTCAGAGAACTGTCCTCTGGGTTCAGCAAATACCGGGACTTTATCCGTCACCTGCCCGTCCACCTCTCCAAGTACATTCTAAGTATGCTGGGGCGTGTTAGGGGACTTCTCAGACACTGCCCATCTTGGCCCAGTTCTGTGGTTTCTGGGTCCACCTTTTTTCCTTTTTTTCCCAGGAATGTTGGATAGAAACACCCTGAACAAGTGTGCCTCCGTGAGCCAGCACTGGGCTGCCCTGGCTCAGCAGGTCAAGATGGACTTGTCCATGCGTACCTTCATTCAGAACCAGATTGCCCTCTTGCAGGTACTTCCTGTCTGGGAGAAGCACGGCTGGAGACCAGCTTCATTTCCGTGTTGAGGCTGACCTGACCGTGAGCCTTTCAGTCTCCCTGGTAGGCCCTTAGCTGGCCTCCTGCTGCACACGTGCTCTTTTTAGGCTTCAGCAGTCACTTCCTTTTGGTCTGGACTCCCTGCCGATCACCCATTTACTCTCCCTTTGTCAGTGCATGTAGCAGGGACCGCCTGTATAGAAACCTCCCAGGAGTAGAGAGGCAGAGCCTTTCCAAAAACAAACAGGGAATTACCCCCCACCCCCCCACCCCACCTCCCAGGAGTCACACTGCAGCTTACACAATGACAAAACCATGAATATGTTTCCAGATCAGCCTCATATGGTACACAGTTTACAAGGCCACAGAATATATTTTTAGGTTAAATGCAGTTTTCTTCCTGATAGTAATCATCTCCAGTACTCAGTTTCTTGCCTGAAGCCTAACCCTAAACCACGGATCCTCCTCGGTAGCTTGGATTTTTTCTCAGCAGAGGAAGATGACGAACAAAAAAAAGCAGGCCACAGTGTGGAGACTACTGGCCATCTCTTGCTGGTCTCCTGCCAGCCCTTTGGTATTTGTCCCTCCTCGGTTCAGTCTGTACACACTGTTGGCACAACGGGCCAGCCTGGGCTGCTTTCCTAGCCAGGGCTCAGCCATCTTTCAGATTTTGCCAAGAACTAGTTTTTCCCTTCCTCCTGGAGAATAGCAACCGAGAGGGCTGGCCCGTGGCTCACTCGGGAGAGTGTGGTGCTGATAACACCAAGGCCCCAGGTTCGGATCCCATATAGGGATGGCTGGTTTGCTCACTGGCTGAGTGTGGTGCTGACAACACCAAGTCAAGGGTTAAGATCCCCTTACCGGTCATCTTTAAAAAAATAAAAATAAAAAAATAATCGTGGGATCTAAAAATCAATCAGCCACCATAAAATGATAGCAGCCGTGCTCAAGGAAGTGCAGACCAGGTGGGGGCTGGGGAGCCTGGGTTGGGGTCTGTATGGTTGGAAAACAGAGGTGGCAGGAAGTTCCCTGAATGCCAACTGCTGGGAGCTCAATGGGTGCCAGGCGGGTGGAATTCTGCTGGCTTCCTTCTTTGTATATTTTCTACAACTCGATTATCATTTTCATTTTTATAACAAGCCTATGTGGTTTTTCTTATGGGGAAAATGTCCATTTTGAAGGGAAAGAGGTGGGTCATCAGCTTTAAGATGAAGCCCCCCTCCCCCCTGCTGCCTCAGGACACCCTCAGGTGGCCACAGGCTCCCCCAAGCTTCCCAGACTTAGAAGGGGCCGCGCAGCTGGGTGGAACCGACCCTATCCCTGTGTTTTTTTTTTTTTCCAGGGCTCCTACATGAGGGGACTCGATCCTCATTATGCCAACAGGCTTTCTGTCCCAGTTCCTAAAATGGTAGATGACGGGAAGAACGTGTGTGTGAAAAATCAGAAGTTGAAACTGAGAACAAAGGTGGGTTCCAGTGACATCTGGGGCAAGAAGCTGTGAGTGTCATGTTCTCATTGGCCATTGAAGGCTGAGGTCCAGACTCAGTCCTCAAAGAAAGACATGGGATCATGGGAGGTGACATTCCCTATGGGAGACCGGAGTTGTTCTGTGTCACTGTTGACTTGCAAGTCACTTCCTCTCCTTAAACCTTGATTTCCTCACCTGTTGAATGAGTGGACTGATTAGGTTGTCCTCTTGGGCTTCTTCCTTCACGTCCCATGGCCATGCTCTATGTCCAGGCAGCAAGTCATGTCGTGGAGTGTTCAGAGGCCAGGAGCAGTGTCAGCTGTGGCTGGGGTTCTCCCCACCCTAGTGGTCCAAGCATGTCAAGTCTGCTGCTCAGCAACGAGGACACAAGGGGAGGGCCAGGGCCTGTCAAGCATGTCCAGGGCCTAGAAAGAACTCAGCTTCCTCATCTCGCACTTTCAGGCTCCTTCTGGTTAGAGGATAGAGGAAGAGAGTTCATTAACCGTAGACCTCCCCACCAGCTGGGTAGTAATGAAGAGAGTTAGTGGAAAACTCTGACTCTACGCTTTGCCTATCCAGACATGGTAGTTACTCCTAAAACCATGAGATTCCTGCCCCTCCTCTCTGCTCAAGGTCCTCCTATTTTGGAGTTTATTCAATTGGCCCAAAAAGGACACTTGACGAGGGGTGGTCTGATAGTAGCTTCCCGTAAGGAAGCAGTGGCACAAGTTAGAATTCGAGAACAGAAGCGTCCAGCGAGACCATCTAGCTCATATGTCTGTAGGGGCCAAACAGGTCACACAAAGGACGGCGGGACTGCGATGCACTGGAGAGCTCACTCCCCATCCGAAGGGGCAGCTGCTACTCAACTCCGGCTAATGACTGCCACAGGGGACGGTGGACCCTGACCTCCCAGCCCATCTGAGCCGTCAAGAGACAAGACAGAAATCTGAATCTGAATTATCGTGTAAAATGTTTTGCTTTTTAAACATGCTATAAAGGCCAAAGAAAGCACATCTGTGAATCTAATGTGCCTGCAGTTTTTCCTCTCCGAGCTGGTTCATTTACTCATTTTATAGATAAATAAACTGAGGCCTAGAGCGGTCAATCTCCCAGCCAGGTGAGCAACCGAAGCACAAGTTGAATGCAGACCTGCTCTTTCCACACCTATTGCTCTTTTATTTCTTTTGAAATAGCAACACTAAGCAGTTACAGGGTCTTGTAGGAAGAGGTGGAGGGGCGTGCCTCTGAGGGGTGGAACGGCAGTGAGTGCAGTGTGCCAGGCGCACAGCCTGCAGCTTTGGACACGTTATTCACTTGATTTTCACCACAGGTAGTGTGGAAATGAAGGATATGATGCTAGAAAACTTGCCCAAGGTCTCGTAGATGGTCAGTGGCAGACAGGGGATTTGAACCCAGCTCTTTTTCCTTCCACTGACTCCACCATGCAGCTTCTAGGGCTCACAAAACTTAGGAGATGAGCAAGGGCCAGGGAATTCCCACTGGGCCGGGAGAGGCCAGGGAAGCCTCATTTAATTCAAGCTGGAATACGGGAAGCTGCTTGGACACTGGAGGGGAGACAGGTTGGTGGATTCATTTGGGGACAGACTTCTAGGAGGCATCACTACTTGGTTAAAGATTAAGAAGGACAGTGAGTGGAGGAAAGAGGGCATCTAAGCAGGAGTGTAGGGGCATGGAGGAGAAGGCTGAGGTTTGGAAGGAGACTTTGAAGGAGATGTCCTCAGGAGGACTCAGATGCAAACATGATGCTGTGGTCTTCTTTGCTTTCATGACACACTCACCCTGCTTTTTCTTTCCTGCTAGCCTAGTGTGACTTGTTTCCTGCTATTCGAGAGTGGAGTGTGGCTGGGATGCAGAGTGGACCTGGGAGTCCAGTTCAGTCATTTATGCCAGAAGTTAGCATGTCTGGCCACACCATAGCTGCTCAAAGTGTGTGATGGATGGAAGGAAGGAAGGAAGGATTGGAAAGTGAAGAAAAGCACCCCGGTTGAGATGATAAAATTTGCTTCCCCTCCTTGAATCCCAGATCCCTCGTCTGTGAAATGATGAGAATACTTTGTGGGGCAAGTGATCTCTTTGTGAGGCAGCTGTAAGGACGAATAGAGGTTGTAGATGTATGAAAACTTTGAAACACGATCATAGAGCGTGCAGCAGTAGTCTCGCGTGTGGCTTACGTTCTCGTGCGTGTGCCTTGTGCTGTAGGCACGTGCAATACAGATGTGAAAATGAAAGCAGAACGGTCTGCCAAGGGCACCTGTGGTTTTACTTTGTGAGCACGCCCTTCCTGAGCTCATTTTTGGAAGAGCTGTGCTATCTGCAACATTTGGAATTCAGCCTTAAAAGTTCATGGAATCAGAGCACAAGGAAAATACAAAGAGGTGAAAGGAGAGTAAGGGCCCTTGACTCAGCATTTCTAACTAGTGTCTGCTCCTGGGCCCTTCCCTATCGCTGTGAAGCAGCCACAGCTTAGGGGAGATTCTAGGGGGCGTCTGGGACCCGGGGTAAAGTTGCCGACGTACTCTGACACCAAGTATTCCCTTGTCAGAATGACTACAACCTGTGGACTGCATACCAGAACCAGGAAACACAGCAGGTCCAGATGGAGGAGAGAAATGTTTTCTGTGGGACCTACAATATCCGCATTCTCTCTGACGTGTAGGTACTGGGTCAGAATCTAGATCTTCAGGGACCCTTGAATTACGCCCACTGGCATCTTAGGAATTGCCTGAGCCTTGTGTACTTGGACAGGCAATCTCCTCCTCACATCAAGCCCCAGCCCCAGGTCCCATGTGGACAACAGGTACTTGATTTTGCACCATTCTTGGCCTGGGTAGAGGACACTTTCCCCTTATAACTGTTGGGTATACTGATCAAAAACCTATTGCACAAATTCAATGCATGTAGTCTTTCCTTTTTGTTTTATTCTAATTTTACAAGTAATATATGCTTACTGGAAAAAAAAATCCTCCACATGCCAGAAAATGTATAGAGAAAAGCAAAGATCTCCTACAGTCTTGTCACCTAGAGATAACTACAGTTAATACTGATGTCTACCCCTTCTAGAATTTTTTCTTTGCACACACAGTACATATTTTAAATAGAAATGGGGTTATACTACACATATTTCTGTAACTTAATCCAGCAAAGCTCTGTGGATATCTTTCCATGATAAATATGAAAATGTATTTATAATAATTGCATAGTGTGACATTTTTATATGCCATAAGACGAAGGCCCTTTAATAATCAGGCTTCTGCCATAATTTAGGCCTAGGGCTTCATTCTTTATTCACAAGGTTTTGCAAAGGCCATCTCTACCTTATTTTGTCCAGGAATCTTATTAACAAATTGCATCTTGAGAATAGACCATTCAGTATGGGGAAGACACAGCAGATAGCGAAAAGGCAGAGTTGGTTTTTATGCATGCTGTGACTGCTGTTTTGAACAGGTGATGTCTGGTTGAACTCTAGATATGACAAATGAGGAGAAAAATATCAACAATCGCTCCTCATATTTAGAGTGACTGTGCATCCCTGCTGATTGGAACAATCCCACTTTACTCTGTGGTCCTAGTGTAGTTAATCACAGTGTCCCCTTTCACAATAAAAAATATTTTCATTTGGATGATAAATTATTTGGTCATCCTTCTTATATTTTACCTATTTGCTAATAATCCTATGATTGGAAAATTAATTCAACTCCCTTGGTTTTATTAAACTATAAGCTCATCGTGAGCCAGGTCCATATCTTAACCATCTTTGTATTTCCCATGGTATCTACCAGCACAGAACTGTGAACCTAATACTGTATGTGCTCGTTGAATATTGGTTAAGAAAAAAGAAAAGACATGTAGTGTGTGTAGGGCTTCCCAACTGTGCTCCTCTGAGGTTTTCCATGATAAAAAGGTTTCCATGGTCAAAGAAGTTTGAAAAATGCCACAGACTCTATCCTTTCTCTTGGAGGTTTAGCATACATTAGCAGAGTTTTAAAAAATAATTTGCCTTGTTCTTTAGGTTTTAAATCTACCTGAAATGGATTTGTGTCATGGTATGAAGTAGGGATCCATCAGGGCCTGTTAATACTTGACCTTGCCTGTGCCGCCTCCCCAGCTGAGAGGCCCCACACCTTCCATTACACCAGTGCTGCAGGCAAAAGTCACGGTGCTAAGTTCCAGGGAGGACATTAACTCTTCTTTCATGGATAATCCTCCCCTCCACCCCTGGCTACTCAGGTGGGACCAAAACAGAGTCATCCACTATTCTGGAGGAAATTTGGTGGCTGTGTCCTCTAATCGGAATATCTATCTTCTGGATATCACACAAATAAAGGAAGTCCCCGTCAAGTTCCGAGGCCACGCTGGGAGTATCCGGGCCCTCTTCTTGTGTGAGGAGGAGAGCTTTCTCCTAAGTGGGAGTTTCGACCTAAGTATCAGGTGAGCCATCCAAGGAGGTCGTGGTCCCCATCCCACATGGGGCCTAAAGGCAGCTCGTGGAAAGCACACATGCTTTTTCCTTTTTGTATTTATTGAAATATATCCTAAGTGACCCTGACTTCTAGAACACCCATGACTTCTTTTGTTTTTGGTTTTTAATAATGTAAAAGCCAAGAATTTACATATTGTTTAAACTTTGAATGAGATAGAGTTTCAGCTGCATTTTCTAGTTGATGACTGTAAATCAGAAAAAGTTTCTTGTTTTTGCATTCTTAGATGAAGACATAATTTATATTTCTTTTTATAGATACCTTCAGGGGAAAGTAGATTTTTTGTGAGTATGAAATATAGTATGAAAGCAAAACAGTGCTAAAAGTGTATACATACATACATTTTTAAACAGTATAATAAACACCCATGTGCCCACTACTCAGTCCAAGAAATAGAACATTACCATGCCCCAAACCCCCTCTGTGCCCTTATCTTATCACCTCTTACTTCCTCCCAACGAGAGGTAATGTTATCCTAAGTTTTATACTAATTATTTCCTTGTATTTCTTTATAGTTTTTGCTTCCTGCTTATATATCTCCAAATATATTACTTTTGCCTATTCTTAAAATTAACATAAACGGAATTTTATCTTAAAAATTCATTAGTACTTGATTCCTACAGTGAACTATGTTTTTGAGATATATTCATATGATGTAGATAGCAATAATTAATTTTTCACTGAGAAACAGTCTTTTATGAGATGAATGTATTGTAACTCACTCATTTATTCTTCTGTTGATGGACATTTGCATTATTTCTAGTTTTTATTTTTCTCAATGAATCCCGCTGTAGATGGTCCTTGGATGTGTCACCTGGTGCCCATGAGCATGAGTTTTCTGTAAGGTACATTCTTAACAGGGGAATTTGTAGGTAGCAGTACTAAACTGTTTTTCAAAGTGGTTGTATTAATTTACATTCCCATCAGGGGTATGGGAATATTCCTTCTTATAAATGCTCACCAATGCTTAGTATTGTCAGACTTGAACATTCTTGCCAACCTGATGGGTATTAAGTAAACCTTCACTGGGGTTTTATTTTTAACTTCTGTGATTACTAATGAGGTTGAGCATGTTTTTATATGTGTATTAGTAAGCGTACTCCAGAGAAACAGGCACAGTAGGATGTGTATATACATGGAAAGAGATTTATTGTAAGAGATTGGCTTGTAGGATTACAGAGGCTGGCAAGTCCAGAACCTGCAGCGTGGGTGGCAGTGGCAGCCTGGGCAGGCTGGTGGAGACCCTGAGAGCAGAAGGCGCCCCTCACCTGTCTGCTGAAGTCCCTCTCCCTAGTGGGTGCCAGCATTTTTGTTCTTTTCAGACCTTCAACCGATTGGATGAGGTCTGTTCACATTATAGAAGGCAATCTGCTTTACTCAGAGCCCACCAGTTTAAACGTTAATCTTATCCTAAAACACCCTCCAAGTTAGCATGTAAAATTAACCATCACACTATGTTTTGGAGCCATTTGTGCTTCCTCTTCTATGAAATTCCTGTTCAGATCTGTTTTTTTTTTTGGACTGTTTTTATGTTGATTTATTTATCCCCCTTTTTTTTTTGATTCATAAGAGTTCTTTGTAATTTCTGGATACTAATTCTTTGTTTATTTTTGTTGTAAATCTCTTCTTCCAATTTAAAACTCGTCTTTTCACTGTCTGTGTTATCTTTCGATGAACAGAACTTTTTAACTTTTGTATAGTAGTACTAATGGTTAACATCTCTTTGGCATGTTTAAGATTCCTTCCCTGCCTTAAAATCATGAAGACAGTTTCCAGTGGTGTCTTTTTTAAGGTTTTTATTTTTTATTTTAGTTTGGCTTTTCATCTTTAGGTCTTAGGTCTACCTGAAACTGACTTTTGTTATGGCGTGAGGTAGGAGTCTAGTTCCTTTTTTGTCCCTTCTCCTTATTTGGATATCCAGTTATGTCAGCACCATTTTGGAAAAGACTATCTTTTCTCCATTGGACTGCAGTGCTGGCTTCCTCATAAGACAAGTGTCTGCATGTTTCTGTTTCTGGGTTCTCTATTCTGTTTCACTTGTCTGTTTGGCCATCCTTGGACAATACTATGGTGTCTTAATTACTTTAGTTTTTTTAGTATGTATCTGACAGGGCAAGTCCCCCACCTCATTCATCTTTGTCAGAGGGTTTTGGCTATTCTTGGACCTGGACACGTCCATCTAAATCCTTCAGTTTGGTTTTATTCTTTCTCAAACTGCACGTGCAGAGGATTGAGCTAATTGCACTTCTCAGTTCATGCCATATTATTACTGTTGGTATGTACAAGGCTTTATTCCTATTTCATTTATCTATTTATTTGTTCTGTTTTATCTCTGTTCTATTCTCTTCTCCCCATGGACTACCAACTAACCTTTCTTAATGTATCTTTTATTTATATATGCTCTTTCAAAATGTGTATTGATGTGTTTTGTACATGTATTATAATTTGCATCCATGGTATTATGTTAAAGTTCTCTTGGTTTCTAGCTTTTGCACCCCATTCTTTGCTTTTAGTAGTACTCCAAGGTCTGTGTATACATTTTACCTACTTGCTTCTCTAGTGATGGACACTAGGTTGCCTCCAAATAATGCTGCATTGAACATTTTTATGTAGGTCCTTTCATGGACATTGTGGTTTATCTTAGGGATATGTACCGAGCAGTGAACTTGCTGAGACACAGGGCAGGCAGCATCTAATTTTACTAAGAAGTACCAAACTGAAGTCCAGAGTGACTGAACGGGGCTACACTCTCACCAGCAGAGCTCTTCTGTCTCTGCTTCCCTACCAACGTCGAGCATCATCCAGCTTTCACATTTTTGCCAGGTGAATATGCATAAAACCATTTCCATATGGATTATTCTGGTTACTAATGGATTTGCTTATTTTTTTGTGGCTTTTTAAGTTGCCTGATTATGTCCTTTGCCCACTTTTCTGTTGGGGCTACTCTCATTTTCCTATTGATTTGCAGTTCCTTGTATTTCCTTCTAGATGTAGTCCTTAGTCCCTTGTCAATTTAAAAATTTCACATAGCTCCTATTTTTTTAATCTATTAACTTTGTTCATAGTGTCCTTTCTTGAACAAAAATTCTTAATATTGATGTAATAAAATTTATTGGTTTATCAAGTTTTAAAACTTTTTTTGGCCTCATGTCTGAGGCTCGTCTCACTTTTATGTTGCAGAGATATTTTTCCAAAATTTCTTTTAGTAACTTCAGTTTTACCTTCGCCATTCAGTTCTTTAATCCACTTGCAGTTCAACTTTGTACGTAGTGTTAGGTAGGGTGTCCATTTCATTATTTCTTTTTAAATTAAGTGAGCAGTTTCCCCCTACAGCAACTGCTAGCTGAGCTGTGGTTTGTGGCGCCACCTTTATCACATGGTAACTTCCCATACATGCGTGAGAATACCTCTGAGCTCTCTCTTCTAGTCCATGGGTCTGGTGTTCTGTTCTTGCATCAAAACCACCCTATTTTAAAAATTTTGATTTGTTTTGTTTTTAGCTATGCATTTGGAGAATGTTCTAATATACCACGGTGGGGCAAGTCCTACTCCTCATTTTTCTTTTTTATGTAACAGATATGGTATGTCTGTTTTGAGTTGGAATATGTTTACTGGCTTTTTAAAAAACCCAAGTTGACTTTTGATTGGGGTTGCATTGAATTTACAGATTAATTTGGGGAACACATTTATTTAAATCATCTTTGTTCTTTCTTAGAGCTTTACAGTTTTCTTTATAAAAGTCATGTGTATTCTTATGTAATGTCTATAAATGTTATAGTTTTCTTGCTATTGTGAAGGTATTTTTGTTTATATTTTTAAATTGGTTATTGCTGGTATAGAAAAATGCTATTGATTTTTGTAGGTTAATCTTGTGTTTGGCAACCTTGTAAACTTTCTTACTAGTTTAAAAGTATGCATGTTGATTATTTTTATATGTTGGTGATCTTATCAACTGCAAATAGTGACAGTATTTTATCTTCTTTTCTCATGTTAGATCACTTTTTTCTTTTTCTTTCCTCGTAACTTTGCCTAGGCCTTCCAGTGCCGTGGTAAGCAGTAGTAGTGGAGAGGTGACTCTGTCTGGCTCCCCTTCTTGGAGGGAACACATCTACGCTTTCTTCATTAAGCATGATGTTCACCGTTATGACTTTGGTTTATAAGTTTAACCAAGTCAAGGAAGTTCCTTCTCTTCCTATTTTTCTAAAAGTGTTTATCAAATACTTATTCCTGCATAAATTAGGAAAACCAGCCTGGTCCCATGGACTGCCATGTTGCTAGAAACGGAAATTCAAAAGCTGCTTTCTGTCAGATGACTGGACATCATTCAGTGCACTGTGGCTGCACTGCAGGCTCTGACACCCTGGCAAGGCATTGGTAGGTCTGGAGGACCTTTGGGAAAATTAGAAGAAAAAGCTTAACGTATTCAAAAAAACCCCCCGAAGAAACACTTATTCATCATTTATTGTATGTCAAACCTCCCAGTAACTCTATGAGGTAAGTACCACTAGTATCCCCAATTTACAAATGAAGAAACTGAGGTACAGAGTGGTTCAGTAACTTACCCAAGATTGCACAGCTAGCAAGTGATAGACCTGGGGTTGGACCTCAGGCAACCTGGCTGCAGAGTTCATTATCTTAACATTATACTTTGTCCTGTCACAAAAGCAATCTGGCTCAAGTGGAAGTCTGTATCAACAACAGTTGAGAGACATCAGGCAAGTTTTTTATTAAAAACCAGTGTGACTCATACATATTTGTTGCACTTTCTTTGTCACCTCTCTCTCTCTCTGGGTGATGGAGACGCAAAGGATTACTCAAAGCCCATTTCTTCTGAGCAGTAAGAAGCCCCGAAGGGGTTAATTTTCCAGGATCCCTCAAGAAAGAGGCATTCCTTCTGGAAAAATAACACTGGACTGGGGTCTTCTCCCAGTATTTATTCTCTAGGCCAGAAAGTTACAGAAAAGGAACATAGGTGGAGTTATGGCTAAGTATAGTTTAACAATAGAAGCTGGTAACATCAGTGAAATAACAAAGTGACATTCCATAATGCAATTTGCAAAAGGTGAAGTTAATCCACCAACAAAAGCTTGTTCTTAGCAAATACTGTCTTTTCCTACAGGAATTTCCTCAGTATGCTTACATAGCAGTCAAGTAACTTTAGGTTAACCTGCACCAAGGATGTCTGTCCTTGAGCCAGCAATTTTGCTGTGTTACAATTCTTTATCTACAACAGACACTTTAGCCTGGGGACAGTTTCCTGACTTTTGCAAGCTTAACATTTCTGTATGTTATTTTAAAAAGTTAGATTATACCTGAAACTAAAGGTCTTTGGAAGCTAGGCCCTGTGAAACACATTTGCTTTATAAATGTTAGTATATTCCACACATATTCTCATATATTTCTTAGATATGCTTTAGATGTATATAAAATATTTTAGATCTAAGTGACTATGGTATTCTGTTGCTTTGTTTGAAGATCAGCTCTTACCACTGAATCAGTGTCATGAATTCTAAGCTTAGTGGTCAATCCCAGGACACTTCCACCTAAAACCAGCTAATATTTATCAAGCATTTTCTGATGTTAGTCACTGTTGTAATGTTGCATGCATTAGAGCAGGATTTCTTTTTTTTTTTTTTTTTTTTGTCCTTTTTGAGACCGGCCGCACTGCGCACAGCCAGTGAGCGCTGTGAGCGCACCGGTCATCCCTATATAGAATCCAAACCCACGGCTGGAGCGCTGCCGCGCTCCCAGCGCCACACCCTCCCGAGTGCGCCACGGGCTCGGCCCTAGAGCAGGATTTCTAAACCTTGGCATTAACGACATTGGGGGCTGGAAAATTCTTCATGGGGGGAGGGGTGTCCTGTGCATTTTGGATGTTTAGCAGCATCTTTGGATTCTAACCACTAGATGCCGGTATCACGTCCTTCCCCACTTGTGACCACCAGAAATGTCTCCAGACATTTCCAGATGTCCACTGGGGCTAGAATCACCCTTGGTTGACAATCACTATATTAGTGAGTTTAATTCTTCGCAAAAACCTTGTGAGGTAACTACTGTTGTATGTTTCCATTTTATCAGTGAGAAAATGAAGCTTACATAGAAATTAAGTGACTTTCCCAAAGTTATACCAAATAGGTGCTGTAACTGGATTCAAATCCAGGCCTCTGACTCTAAGCTTAACCATGAAACTCTTCTGCCCTCCAACTAGCTATTGATCTGAAGGAGCTCTATACACTATGATCCTTTGCGTCCTCAGAAAATCACATAAACGTTCTTTTTGGCCTGATTCCTGCAGATACTGGGATCTGAAAAGTGGGGCTTGCACACGAATCTTCAGTGGCCACCAGGGGACGGTCACTTGCTTGGATTTATATAAGAAGAGGCTTGTATCTGGAGCAAAAGATTGCCAGGTGAAAGGTGAGAAAGAAATACCTTAAATTTTTGAAGTTTCTGCAAATCCATGTGTTAAGAAAAATGTTTTTTTTTTCCCAATTTCTATGGGTAGTTATTTATTCTTTTATTCATCCATCCATGCCTCCATCTGTACATATCTATATCCATCAGTCCATCCACTCAACAACTATTTTTTGGTATTTACAATATGCCAGACACTGTGCTAGGTGTTGGGGAGTAAAAAAAATGGTCATGATATGGCCCTTTAGATATGGCTTTTTGTTTCATTGAGAGGTCACAGTCTCCTAATGAAAGCAGATATATAAATATGTAATGGTGATATAATAAATACATGAACAATAGCTGCCATTTTTTGAGTACCAACTTTAAGACGGCACTGTAATAGGTGCTTTACATATATTACCTTATCAAGAATCCCATGAGGTGGATGCAGATGAGGAATCCAAAATTTAGAGAGAAAAACAACTTGCCACAAATCAAAGCTAAGTGGTAGAGGGGTATTTGAACCCAAGCCTGTCTGGCTCTAAATCATGTGCTCCTATCACATGTGGAGTTCTAAGGGACCACAGAAATAAGAGTAAATTGGGAAAACTCCGCAGGCACGGTGCTACTGGAGCGTGGTCTTGAGGATGAGCAGTTTTACAGGAGAGGAAGAGCACAGGAGATGCACAGAAGGATGCAGAAAACGGTGCGTTCAGGGCATTTCCTGTTGTGTGGTGTGGCTGGACAGCAGTGTGTGGCGTTGGAGACAAGGCTGGTAAATTCATTTGGGGCCAGATTATAAAGGGCCTTCTGCATCATGGTACAAGAGTGAAATTTATCCTACAGGACACGGGAAACCATACGTGCATATTAAGCTGGGATTGTTATAATCAAATGTGTGTTTTAGAAAGATAACTCTAGCAATAATTTGGAAGAAGAATTCAGAAAGGGGTGATTATGTGAAGATAGGGGACAAGTAAAGAAACTATCCAGAGAACTGCCATAGTGTCTTCAGAATACCTGAGAACAAGCCAGTGTGAAGAAACTCGGATGGATGTGATTTGCATTCGGTGGCCCAGAGTGAAGGGAAGTCTCTAGAGGGAGAATTGGCAGGACTTACACCGACTAGATATGAAAAATGAGGAAGACAGAGGAGCCACATAGAGGAAGATAAGGCCCGAGTTTTTTTTTTTTTTTTTAACTCAGGCCACTGGGTGTATGGAAATACCCTTAATGGAAATAGGGACTACAGGGGAAGAGCAGGGCAGGGTGAGAAATGGGGAGGAGGTCACGGGTTCAGTTTTGGATGTGTTGATTGTGGTAGGCGAATAATAGCCAATCAAAGATGTTTACATCCTGATCCTCAGAATCTGTGACTATATCACCTTGCATGACAAAAGGGACTTTGCTGATGTGATTAAGTTGAGGACCTTAAAAAGGGGAGATTATTATCGGGTGGGCACAATGTAATCACATGGGTCCTTAAAAACAGATCAACTTTCTTAGCTGTGAAAAAAGGGAGATGTGAGTATGGAAGATAATAAATTTTTGTCATCACAGCAGTCACAGAAAGCTAATCTATTGAGGATTAGATTCCTGAGGACACCCAAGTGAGAATACGCAGGAGGCAGATGCAGCTGTGGATATACTGATCTGGGGCTCCACGTAGGTAGATTTGGTAGTTGTCAGTTTTAATGAAAGGCGGAAGTTCGAGGTGTGGGTGAGATTCCCCCAGAAAAGCAGGAGGAAAGACTGAAAAGAGAGGCAAGAACCTGGGAAACCACAGCATGTTAGTGGCAAGTGGAGGAGAAAGATATGGGAAAGGGAGTGGGGAATGTTACAGAAGCAAACACACAGACCTGCTTACTCTACCTCCTCACCCTCCTCAACCTGACCAAGTATCTCATTGCCACAGTCGCTTTGAGGAGTGCAGCAGAAAGGGTGAAAACCATCCAAGTGAGCATTTGAAGATGGAAAGGCAGCCAAGGCCTCCAAACCAGCTGTGAGAGTCTGGTGAACCACCAGTGGTGGGACTGGGGAGAGGGGAGTTAGGCCCTCGTCTCAGGCATAAAATTTAAGGTGCCACCAAAAAACCAAACCAAAACCAAACCCCAAACACAAAAAACCCTCACTGATCAAGATATATATTTCACTGTGCTGTGGATTGAATGTCCCCACTTCAAGTAACTGAAGCTTAAGTTGGGTCCCTCAAAGTTCCAGGTATTGGAAACTTGGCCCCCACTGTGATAGTGTTGAAAGGGTGGGAAATCCTATTATGATTATTGAAAGGTGGGGCCTTGAAGAGATGATTAGATTGTAGTACCATTCTCCAATGAATGGGTTAATAATGGGGGTCAGGGGATGGTTCTGAGGGCTTTAAAAGGAGAACACATGAGAGTCTCTCTCTCTCTCTCTGCTCCACCATTTCTGCCATGTGAGATCCCTGCATTACTATTAAGCTACCACCAAAGAAGACCTTCACTAGATGTGTTCCCTAGACTTTGGATTCCCAGCCCCGAAAACTATAAGCAATACACTTCATTTTCTTATAAATGACCCAGTTCCTGGTATTTTGTTATAAGCAACAAAATGGATTAATACAGAAAATTGGTATCAGGAGTGGGGTGTTGCTTACAACAAATACTTGAAAATGTGGAAACAGCTTTGGAACTGGTTATTGAAGAGAGGCTGGAGGAAGTTGAGGAACAGGCTAGAAGAAGCCTAGATGCTGGTGAAAGTTTAGAAGACAAGAAAACCAGGGAAAGTTTGGAATGTTTTAGAAACTGGTTAAATGGTGGTGATCAGAATGCTTGTGGAAATATGGACTGTACAGGCCATTCTAAGGAAGTCTCAGATGGAAATAAAAAGGAGTTTATTGGAAACTGGAGTGAAGATCATCCATGCTATGAACTGGCAAAGAACCTGGCTGCATTCTGTTCATGCCCCAAAGTTTTATGGAATGTGGAACTTAAAGATGCTGAAACAGGGTATTTGGCAAAAGAAGTTTCTAAGCAGCAAAACATTCAGGAAGCTGCATGGCTACTTGCAACAGCCTATGCTGAGTCATGGAAGAAAATGCATGATATAAAGCCAGAATGTATAATTAAAAGGGAAGTACAGCATAAAGATTTGGAAAATTTGCAGCCTGGCCATGTGGTAGAGAAGCAGAGAATATTTTTAGGAGAAAAATGCAGTGGTGCTAAGATTATTATTAAAAAAGAAAGGGATTATTGAGGGAAGGGGAAAAAGGCCCTGAAGGCATTGCAGAAGGCTTTGGGGCCAGCCCTTCCATATAGGCCCAGAGACCTAGAGAGACAGAATGGTATCGGGGAACAGGCCTGAGGCGCCCCCCACAAACACTGCCCAGGTCCTCCTCAGGAAGCTGCTTCCAACAGCAGCACCCCAGCTGCTTTGGCTGTTCCAGGCATGGCTAAATTGGCCTCAGGTGTGGCTGGATTCAAAATTTTGGAAGATACAAGCTGGAAGCCTTGGCAGCATCCACGAGGTGTTAAGTTTGCAGTTTCACAGAATGCCAGAGCTGGGAAGGCATGGGAGTCTCCATCCCGATGTCAAAGAATGTATGGAAAAGCCTGGGGACCCAGGAAAAGATCTGTTGCAGGGCAGATTCACTGCATAAAGTCTTCACTAGAACAATCCCAAGGGGAAATGTGGGATTGGAGTTATAGCAGAGAAATCCCAACAGTGCCATGTCTAGTGGAGTCATGAGAACGGGGCCTCCGTGGAGACCCCAGAATTATGGAGCTACCAGCGTGCAATGCCACCATGCAAGAGCTAAAACATCACCTCAGACCAGGAAAACTATAGAAGTGGAGCTGCCCAAGGACTTGGGGACCCAACCCCCACACTAGCATGCAGAAGACATTGAACATGGACTCAAGGTATAAGATTTGCCAGCTTTGAGATTTAATACCTGCCCTACTGGGTTTCAGACTTGTTTGGGACCTGTTACCCCTTTCTTTTGGCCTATTTCTCCCTTTTTGAATGGGAATATGTACCCTATATTTGTCCCACCATTCTATCTTGGCAGTTGATAACTTGTTTTAAACTCATAGATAGGACTCCGAATTTTGGACTTTTCAGTTGAAACAAGTGAAGACTTTGGGGATGAAATGAATGTATTTGTGTGGGAAAAGGACATGAGTTTTGGGGGGCCAGGGCAGAATGCTATGGATTGAATGTCCCCCCAAACTCATTGAAGCTTAAATTGAGTCCCCCAAAATTCCAGGTATTGGAAACTTGGCCTCCACTGTGACAGTGTTGAGAGGGTGGGAAATCCTATTATGGTAATTGAAAGGTGGGACCTTGAAGAGGTGATTAGATTGTAGGACTATGCTGTGTGAATGGAATAAAAATGGTGGTCATAGGCATGGTTCTGAGGGCTTTAAAAGGAGAGCACGTGAGAGTCTCTTTGCTCTGCCATTTCTGCCATGTGAGACCCCTGCATTGCTGTAAAGCCATCACCAAAGAATATCTTCACCAGAAGTGTTCCCTGGACTTTGGTTTTCCAGGCTCCAAAACTGTAAGCAATAAATTCCATTTTCTTATAAAACACCCAGTTCCAGGTATTTGGTTATAAGCAACAGAAACGGACTAATACACAATGCAGTATTTTAAAAGGCAGAATTAATGCACAAAATCCACAATGAACAAAATATCAAAATCTCTCTAGCTTCATTTTACTCCTGATCCTGGCCACCAGCCTGCCTATGTCCCATGGGCTCTTCCCACCTGCCTGGTCTACCAAAACAGAATGAATGAGGCTATTAGAGACCCGAAGGGTAACCCTCTGCTTTCAAAATTCTTTATACCAGGTTACCTTACCACTTGTCATTCATCTTTCAGTTTTCCCATTGGCAATTTTATAAATAGGCCAAGATAAACACAAAAAAAATAAATTAAGAAAAAAGCATGCTTACATAGTTAGGGTTAACCTAGCATAAATGATTCAGAGCATGGCTCTGGATCTAGATTCCCTGGGTTCACATCCCGGCTCTACTGTTCACCACCTGCATGACCTTGAGCAGGTTACTGAACCTCCCTATGCCTCAGTTTCCTCATTAGTACAGTGGGGAATGATAATGGTACCTACCTTGTGAAGACGAGTTAATACATGTCAAGCACTGTGAGTGGCTCCTGGCTCGTTGCTAGTGCTGTGTATCAACTGTGGCTATGGTTTTGTCTTAGGCTACTTGTTCTGTTGCCTGAGCAAGAAGGTACTTTGGGGAACAATGAAGCAGACTTTGTTTTGTTTTTTTTTTAGAATTTACCAAATTTTGCTTTATGAATATTATTAATTACATTCTGTGATGTTGTTGTGGAGCAGTTGGGAGGGCGGAGGAGAGGGGGAAAGGGGAAGGAAATGGGATGGAAGAAGGAAGAAGGAGGAGGGGTGGGATTGAGGCCTGTGGCAACCCCCTCATTCCCACAGGGGAGACCAAGGGGTTTCCAGGGGTGGCTTGGTCATTGCCGGGCTGGGTGCAGAAGTCAGGGGCATAGGAAAAAGCCCTTGACCCCCACAACCCCAGCTCGGGAACCCGGGGCCCTTCTTGCTATGGCTCAGTGGTTGGCACTGAGCTAGTTTCACATGTTGGGGGGGGGGCGTGGCTGAGGCCCTTCGCCCCAGGCCCCCTACCATTCTGGCTGGGGAGAGCCTGGGCGATTCTTGTGGTGGATCTATGGTTGGCAGCTAGCTCAGTGGTAGGTTGCTGGGGTGGTTGTGCACATGTGGGGGGGTGTGGCTGAGACCCTCGGCCCCCACTGTTGGGACTGGTTGCCTGTATCTGGGGGCATGGTTGAGGCCCCTGGCCCTCCCCCCTTTCTGGCTTGTTAGCCCAGGGGACTTCCAATCCTTCTAGGTGTTATAGGTGCTCTTTGGTGAAATGAGACCTTTACTAGTTAATATTAAACTTTGTCTCTGGTTGTGGTTATTTTGTGTTTTCTTTCAGTTCTGTGTTGGATTATTTGCTGTTCCCGCCACTTAAACTCTGCACTGGAATAATTTGTTGTCCTTTGCTTACTTCTAAAGTGGGGGAACTTCCTGTGGGGACCAGCACTTGAGCTCTGTCGTTGAGCTAAATTGTCGCTTTGCTGCCAGTTCCCCAGAGAAGGCTTTTTGTGTAGCTCAGGTTTTTATGGTTGACTTTATAGGTACTTTATAGGATCTCGTGAGATCTGGTGCACTTGGGTTGTGTAGAAACTCTAGTCTGGACCTGAGTCTTCTCATCAGACCGCACCCCATGCAATTCTATATTCCTGACCAGTCTCCACTGAGTGGGCCTATGCTTATTGGGGGAAGATCAGCTGTCCTTGCTGTGCCCCAGTGTTCCTCTGTGGGCCTATCTCCCCGACTGCCCATGCTCCAAACACGTCCCATGGGACGGGCTATATGCCAGTCCCTTGCGTTGACTCACCGGCCTCTGAGTGGCTCCTTTTTTTCAGTTGTTGTGGCTCTTTGTTCCTATGTGGGTTCCCGTGAACTATTACTGGTCTTGCTGGCCTGGGGGCTACCAAGACCCTCTTCTCCCCTGCCGCCTCCAAGCAACTTTATCCGAAAGGCACAGCTGCGGCTTTTGCCAGATCCTGCTCCGTGCACTCAGCAGCTCCAGCCTGGAAGCAGCCAGGGCTTGAAACGGTCAGAGTGGTCCTTTCTTTCTCTCACTGTGGCTTCTCCAGCCTTCATGCACTCCATAGGTCTCTCCTCCTCTTCCTCTGAACTCTAGTGGCCCCAGCTTGGCTGTTGTTGCTTTTTAACAGTTGTAAACTGGTTGATTTGTGGGAGAGAGTGAGGCTGGGGACTGTCCATTCTGCTATCTTGACTGGAAGTCTGAAGCAGACTTTAATGTTTTGTTCCTGAATTTGTTGTCTCTACTTTCAACTTCTTCCCTTTAGGTCTGCTCTCCCACCCACCCATGTGCTTTCATCCCCACCCAATATCAACAGTACTCTAGACAGTTGCTCTAACACAGTTTATGTAGAAGCAGCATCAAAGCCACCCCAGCCATGACAATTCCTTTATAAAATCCAAAAGTCGGATTCAGAAATATTTACAAACGTGAGGAAGGGCAGACAACTTTCTTTTCTTTTGGGGACACAGGGTGTAGGTCAGGAAGATAGCCTCTGGGAGAAATGAGGACACTAAATCTATGCCATGATTTTCATGAAATCTCAATAGCAAGCACTTTTCAGGCTTGAGGATTAGGTTTATTGGAGATGAGCTGTCTAGCACTTGGACCCCAAGTCTAAGTTCCAGCTCAGAGCCAAGGTCTTTGGCATTTCCAGCTCTCCCAGGGACCCATGGTCAAGGAGCTCTGTGTTGTGGTTCCATGGAGCTGCTGGTGAGCCTGCCCTCCAGGGGTGCCAGGCCAGGTAAAGCCCTTCTGGGGTCTGACGTGATGGGCTTGGCTAGTCTTGGCTTCTGTGATGGGGAGTGGAAGTCTCCTGCAACCCTCCCCGACCCTCTCTCTCTACCTTTCCCTTTTAGTATGGGATTTAGACACAGGAAAGAGCCTGAAGACGTTTAAACACAAGGACCCCATCTTGGCCATCAAGACCAGTGACACATACATCGTGAGCAGCTGTGAGCGAGGGACAGTCAAAGTGTGGCACATTGCTATGGCCCAGCTGGTAAAGGTGAGAGGGCGGTGGGCTGGGGAGGGGTGCAGGGGCATGGTGCTGACTGGAGGAGACGGATGGTCTCCTTCATGTAGCTCCCCAGACCATCTTAGAGCAATTAAGTTACAGTTACCAACAAGCGTGGTCCTGAAGAGTGAGAGGGGAAGGTCTCAAAGGGGGGCATTCTGAGCCGATGGTCAGGGGCTCTACTGCCCACATTGGGTCCCACCCAATTGGTTGTCTTGGGGTTGGTGGAGGAAGGCTGCATTCTGACTCAGCACCATATATGGGTCTTGTGGCAGTGCAGTGCAGGTAAAGTGCCTTGTTCTCTTCTGGCATGGGGAGAGAACATTGGCTATCTTGAAAGTGATTAGATGTTCACAAAACAAGTTCTTGCTGGATTTGAACCCCCTGGCGTTGGTGGGTGGTAGTGAGCTATCATTTGCACCAGGAACACAGCATCACAGTGAAAAGCTGCTGGCTTGGCTTGTGGATTCTTTTCCCACCAATCTTGTCATTGTGGTCAAAGCAGCAGTTGCAGGCACAGGGATGCCCCAGGAGTCCTCTGGTCCTGGCAAGGAGCTGGGGATGGAGCACCTTACCCTTTGTCCCTCTGATATCAGAAGTCAGTGATTTCTGGCCCCCTCTGGTACTCCAGGAAGATGGGCCCTGCCCCAGCCACAGACCCACTAGGAGCAAGGCCCCTCGCGGATCACATTTCTCCTTAATTGGCGAGAAAGCTCTGGAGAGAGGGAGGCATGGATTCCACAGGCCGCCTTAGAGCAAAAGCAGGGCTTGGGTACATACCGAAGGAATGGCAGTCATGGGTTGGTGGAGCATGGCTTGGGGATCCATCTAGACAGGCCTCCAGCTTCGGCCCTTGGAGAAGTCATGGTCTGAGTTGAAGAGGGGCTGGTGACCACAGCGGCATCTTTTCCTGCAGACTCTCACTGGCCACGAGGGAGCCGTGAAGTGCCTGTTCTTTGACCAGTGGCATCTCCTCTCGGGAAGTAGCGACGGCCTCGTCATGGCCTGGAGCATGGTGGGCAAGTACGAGCGGTGTCTGATGGCCTTCAGGCATCCCAAGTAAGTGCCCCTGAAGCCTGGGCTGGCAAACGTGGTGTCCCTCCTTTCCCCGTCGTAGGCTAGATGGCGATCCTTGACAGATCAGTCCCTTCTACTCCTGCTGACCTCGGGTCCTTTCTCTTCCTCACCCATTCCTGCTTCCCTCCTTTGTCACTTGTCCCCCATTTTTCCTGCCACCCTCTGGCCATTCCCTCTCCCGCCCTCACTTGTTTCTCTTGGGAAGTAATTGTGCTAGATGTGGATTTTGAGAAGTTACTGAAATTTTATATTTATGACACACGTGATAAATTCATATCTGTCACCTACCAGACATACGGAATACTGTCAGAACCATCCTAAAGAATGCCAATTCTAGTGAACTTAAAATTCTTGGAATTGGTCTTTTATCCCAGGAAGCTTGGGCTCATGAAAGCTTAAAATGACCCATGAGCCAAAGGGTTAAAAATAACTAAGGGCTTAAGAAAGGGAGTTGACACTCAAGTCTGCGGGCTAGATTCTATTTCAGGACAGCAGATGTATTTCATTTACATTCCAGCTCAAATTTAATGCTGGTGGCAGCTTGGAGCCAATGAAGAAGTATTCTGAGGTCCTATCTGGGCTTGTTTGGAAAGGGTATTATGGCCAATTAATGATTCTGCCACGGTTACGAATTTTATAGGCTGCTCTGTGTTACTCCTCTGAGTGCATTATAAAAATTTTGAGGTAACTAAATGCTATCTTAATTGACTAAAAGAAGTAAGTGGATTTTCCAGGAGATTTATCAGGGGATGCTTGTTTAGTAAGTTATGGCCCTAGATTTCCTTATACCCTCACAGGAACCTTATAAGCAGGTACGTTAGTCTTGTGAAGGCAGAAGGAGATGTACATGTGTGTCCTCCCTGTCTGTGGGGTATAACTGCATTATTGACAGGTGGGCACCAGAAATGGCCTGTGTTCAGTGATTTATCCAATCCCCAGATAATTATCAATAAGCCTTCCAGCATGTCATCTGAATTATGAAGCTTTGATCTCAAGAGGTAGTCAAACTTTATGTCACCTGAAAATTGCAACTGTATGTTTTTAAAAACTTCCAAGCAGGATTCAGTAGGATTTAGTTAAGCTACTGGAAAATAATTTGTTCCCAGTAAATCCAGCAGTTTGGTCACCATTCCATCAATCAATCCATGAGCTTCTTGCTCCACCTCCGAGACCTTCTCAGACATCCGCCACTCCCCTCAATGACAGCCCCAACGTACCATTCATATTGGCTCTTGGTAACTTGCACGGGCACAGAAAAACCACAGACGTCTGCAGGACATGGTCAATGCTCTCCTTTGTAGCTCCTCTTCTCCTTACACAGCTGTAGTAGTGCTGCGTATATGTAGGTGCTCAGTAAGTGTTTTAGTTGATTGGTAATGAGAATAATTTGACAGATTAATTTTCTGGAGAGTTCTAATGATTGAGGATGACATAGGTAAGAAATTAGGTATCGTTACTGTCTCTCCTTCAATGGAAGGAGGGCTAGATCTCTCTCTCTCTCTGTCTCTCTCTCTCTCTCTCTGTCTCTCTCTCTGTCTCTGTCTCTCTCTCTCTGTGCCTGGCTGGTACAGGGACTGAACCTTGGACCTTGGTGTTATCACACCACACTCTAATCAACTGAGCTAAAGGATCTTCTTTCTGTTCTTTTGATGCAACATTTTTCCAACCAAAATTAAGATTTTTGCGTACAGTGTGGGAGAAAATGGATATGAGGGAAGAAATTCAGGAATGCAGAGTGGGGCTGATAGGAATGCTGATCTTTGAAAAAGCTTGTGTATTCTGTAGTATCTTTTAAGAAACCTTTATTCCTCGGGCCAGCCTGTGGCTCACTCGGTAGAGTGCGGTGCTGATAACACCAAGGCCACGGGTTCGGATCCCATATAGGGATGGCCGGTTCGCTCACTGGCTGAGCGTGGTGCTGACAACACCAAGTCGAGGGTTAAGATCCCCTTACCGGTCATCTTTTTAAAAAAAAAAAAAGAAAAAAAAAAGAAACCTTTATTCCTCAATGTCTTTTCTACATCTCAATTGTAATTAGTTTTCTGTTTGCAATTTTTAATTAAGACATAATTTGCATAACATAAACTTCACCACTTTAGTATACAATTTACTGGTTCTTAGTATATTCCTAAGGTTGTGCAGCCATCACTACTACCTAATTACATAACATTTCCATCAATCGGTAATAATGTCCCCTGTTTTATACCTGATTTTAGTAATTTGAGTCTTGTCTCTTATTTTCTTGGTCAAAGTAAAGATTTGTCAGTTGTCTAGCTAAAACCCTGGCAACCACTTAATTTAATTCTGACAGCAATCCCGTACTGACTGGTAACGGGATCGCAACCCTCAGTGTCGTGCCTGTACCGGGGCCGGCAATGGGATCGCAACCCTCGGTGTTGCGCCCACACCACGCCCAGCCAGTGAGTGGGAACCGGTCTCCGCATGGGATCCGAACCCTCGGCGGGAGCGCCACCGCGCTCCCAAGCGGCGTACTCTCCAGTGCCCGGCAACGGGATCGCAACCCTCGGTGTTGCGCCCACACCACGCCCAGCCAGTGAGTGGGAACCGGTCTCCACATGGGATCCGAACCCTCAGCGGGAGCGCCACCGCACTCTCAAGCGGCGCAC